CTGGCCATGCCCATCGGTCACATTATCCCCCCCCCACCAAGCCACGCCCACAGAACCATAGTAACAAATTTTACATTTCACCATGTGTGTAAAGCACATGATCAGACCCAATTTTACAACTCTTTCATGGCAGCCATGAAACAACTCTCTTATTCCCTATGGGATGGTTTTTGCTGGAAACTGAAAAGTAAACTCTGGTTTCTGGCAAAATTGTAAAAAAATTGGAGTCATATGATTACGGGATATGGCAAATGGCTGGAAATCTGGGCTGGTTGCTGAGCACCCAAAATAAAGTCCTGTGGAAGGTTCGAAACTGGCCGTAAGCAACTTTTGATGGAGGGGGAAGCATTGTAACTTCAACCAGTCATTAAGCGACCGGTCGTATGTTGAGGACCACCAGGAATAGAAGACTTCAATTATCTGGACATCTGTTGAAAAGCTAGCCTGGCTCAGACTGCACGCAATGCTAATAATTCCTTGGTAATTGACTGATGATTTCATTTCCTACAAGAAGGGACAAGGAGGTCGGTGTTTCCAACAGTGGTGAAATCCAAATTTTTTTACTACTGGTTCTGTGGGCGTGGCTTGGTAGGCGTGGCTTGGTGGGCATGGCAGGGGAAGGATACTGCAAAATCCCCATTCCCTCCCCACTCCTGGAGGAAAGATATTGCAAAATTTCCATTCCCACCTCACTCTGGGGCCAACCGCTATTTGCCGGTTCTCAGAACTACTCAAAATTTTCTGCTTCCGGTTCTCCAGAACCTGTCAGAACCTGCTGGATTTCACCCCTGGTTTCTACCAAGAGTATCCATGGGATGATGGTCAATTAAATCAAGATGGCAGCTCCAACTATCCAGCCAAAACCCTCTTCTTTATTTTAAATCCAGATGTTCAGCTTATCATTGGCCCATTTATTCATATATTGCAACCTCCCTCAGGTTATTGCTGTTGAGAACCACACCACCCAGAATCCTCTCGCAACATAGCCATGGCGAGGAATTCCAAGAATGACTCTGTAGTCCATCAGGTTGGAGAAGGAGGCTGTGACCTGTTTTTCTAGAAGTTCATTCAGCCACAATTGAACCTGCAGAAAAGCTCTGATCTGTCCCGCCCCCAAAGTAATGGCACTTGGAAGAGGGATGCGATCTTCAAGAGATATCTTGGCAAAATCCCCGCTATAATGAAATTGGTGACCATTAACTCAACAGAGAGCCAGGTTGTCCCTGCTAAAGATGAGGCAGCCAGAGGCAGGAGACAGAACTCTTCTCAACCTTAGCAACTTTGAGGTGTGTAAACTTCAACCCCCAGAATTCCTCAGCCAGTCTGGATAATGGAGGGGGCAGTACCTGGAGAGACAGAATAGGAAGGAAAAAAACAGGAGTGAAATCCGACAGGTTCTGACAGGTTCTGGAAAACCGGTAGCAGAAATTTTGAGTAGTTCAGAGAACCGGCAAATAACACCTCTGGATGATCCCAGAGTGGGGTGGGAATGGAGATTTTGTAATATCCTTCCCCCAGGAGTGGGGAGGGAATGGGGATTTTGCAGTATCCTTCCCCTGCCATGCCCACCAAGCCACGCCCACAGAACCAGTAGTAAAAAAAATTGGATTTCACCACTGGAAAGAAACCACAAAATACAAAGATTTGCAAATAGAAGCGGAACGACCGTGTAAAAAAATAGTACCAATAGTAATAGATACCTGGGGTGCAATCCCAGAACAATACCACTTGAACACCATCGGCATTGACAAAATCCCTATCAGTCAATTGCAGATGGCTGCTTTGCTTGGAACAGCTTGGATCCTGCGACGGTTACCGTTAACACACCCTCAAACAACATTCACCTATCCTGGGTCCTTGGAAAGACTGGTTAGCAGTAGTGGGTTCCTCCCGGTTCGGCCTGGTTCGGCCGAGCCAGTAGCGGTGACGATATGACATCACCGAACCGGTTCTCTTTGTTCAGGAGCTGAGCCCTCCCCCCCCATGTTATTCTTACCTTTTATTTGGCCCCGCCCCCAATCTATTTGCTGCCTCCCGAGTCCCAGCTGATCAGCTAGAAGGAAAAAAACTGTTTCAACTCTTGCCGGGGGGGGGCTTCAAAGGGCCGCCCTACAGCTGATCAGTGTTAAAAGGCAGTGTGGTGGTAGACCAGTGCACTCCAAAAACAAATAGGTAGACCAGAACGCTCCGAAAACAAATGGGTAGACCAGTACAGCTCTGCGAGCAGTTAAAAATCTGGTGGACCAGTACCTCTGCTAAATCCTAAAGAATTGTCACATGACCATCAAACCACGCCCACAAAATAAGCCACACCCACAGAACCAGTGGTATTAAAAATGCCAGACCCAATCTAAATATCTGAACCGACTCTGAAAGCAACCATATAATCATCATTTAAAAGAAAAATTGATTTATATGCAGTCCTTCTCCGGAGACTCAGGGCGGCTTACAATGCGTTAAGCAATAGCCTTCATACTTTTGTATATTTATACAAAGTCAGCTTATTGCCCTCACAAACTGGGTCCTCAATTTACCTACCTTAGAAAGGATGGAAGGCTGAGTCAACCTTGAGCCTGGTGAGATTCGAACTTACAGTAATTGCAGACAGCTGGTGTTAATCACAATGCTATCAGTCTGCTGAGCCAGCAGGCCAGTTATTAAACTTGTATGCCGCTGCTGGGCTCTCTACCAGCCTGAGCGGCTCAGAATTTCTTGGATTTTTACTGGAATGCAGTCCAATTCTTTGGATTTCCTCGAATTGAAAACACCGATTGAGTTGGTTAGTTCAAAGACTGGAGGGACTTTGGCTGGCGGCCTCTCCCTCTGGGGTTGCAGGACAAACGCCCCGGTGGCTTTTCCTAAGCGAAAGGTCTCCAGGCATGACAATGGAGATGACAACTAGGCTCTAGAGCAGTGGTTCCCAACGTGGGGCCCCCACGCCCCACAGGGGGGCAACTTGATTTTTTAATGGGGGCAATTGGAACCTTGTTTAAACCAAGTTAATGGCCTTTAAGGCTTCCTCCGCGTGAGTAGGAGTTCCTTTTGGAATAGTAAGAATTATATGTGGTGAGGGAGGGGTGCATCAGGATTTTAGAGATGCTTAGGTGGGTCATGACCCCAAAAAAGGTTGGGAACCGCTGCTCTAGAGCAGCAGTCACCAACCAGTGGGCCCTGATGATCCGTGAAAAATTTTTGGTGGTCCGCAGAAAAATTAGTTGCATTTTTTTTATATTGCACCAAATACTATTTATCTTTTTTTTGATAGGTTCTAGAGAACCGGTAGTGGAAATTTTGAGTAGTTTGGAGAACTGGCAAACACCACCTCTGGCTGGCCCCAGAGTGGGGTGGGAATGGAGATTTTGCAATATCCTTCTCCCAGGAGTGGGGAGGGAATGGGGATTTTGCAGTAGCCTTCCCCTGGAGTGGGGTGGGAAAGGGGATTTTGCAGTAGCCTTCCCCTGCCATGCCCACCAAGCCACACCCACCAAGCCATGCCCACAGAACCGGTAGTAAAAAAAAACTGAATTTCAAAAATTGAAATGATTCAATTTCAATTCAAAAAAATTTGAATTTCAAAAATTGAAATGATTCAATTTCCAAGCATGTTTATGCGTGGAGCAGGGTTTTCCACTCCTTCATTTACCTTGCCTTCATAAACAGCACAAAACAAGATTTGTGCTGAGATGCTTAAGTGGGGTCATGACCCCAAGAAAGGGTTGGAAACCTCTGCTCTAGAGCAGCAGTCACCAACCAGTGGTCCCTGGTGGTCCGTGAAAAATGTTTGGTGGTCCGCAGAAAAATTAGTTGCATTTTTTAATATTTATTTATTTATTGGTTCAATTTATATGCTGCCCTTTTCCGGAGACTCAGGGCGGCTTACAATGCATTAAGCAATAGCCTTCATATTTATATACCGGCTTAGTAGGGCTTTTGCCCCCCCCCCCCTTCTTTTTTTTATACAAAGTCAGTTTATTGCCCCCACAATCCGGGTCCTCATTTGACCTACCTGGAAAGGATGGAAGGCTGAGTCAACCTTGAGCCTGGTGAGATTCGAACTCGTAGTAATTGCAGGCAGCTGGTGTTACTTAACAGTGCTTTAGTCTGCTGCGCCACCAAGGCTCTTGCATATTAGTATATTGCACCAAATACTATTTATCTTTTTTTTTTTTTAAATCATGTTAGTGATTTAAAATTATGAATTTTGTGGTCCTCGAGGTCCCAAAGGTTGATGACCCCTGCTCTAGGGCAACCACAATACCGATAATAATAACGCGCTGATGAATAAGGAGCTCAGGAGCCTGAGTGGCGTAGGAGGCTAATGCCTCCTAAGGCAGCATTTAACATCCAGCTGCCTGCAATTACTGCGAGTTCGAATCTCACCAGGCTCAAGGTTGACTCAGCCTTCCATCCTTTCTAAGGTAGGTAAATTGAGGACCCAGTTTGTGGGGGCAATAAGCTGACTTTGTATAAAATATACAAAAGGATGAAGGCTATTGCTTAGTGCATTGTAAGCCGCCCTGAGTCTCCGGAGAAGGGCGGCATATAAATCAAATTTAAAAAAAAAAACAGCGACCCTGATCAATCACCCTGACCACTTGCAACGCGTTATCAACAAGTAGTAGGCACTACTAAAAGAAGGACGCGGGTGTTGTTTTCAGGCTGCCCGCCACCCTCCTGCCTGAAAGAGCCCCGCTCCGTCCTGCGCCACGGGGGAAAAAAAAACACCATGGCGAAGCTGGAAGGCGCTCAAGAAGGGAGCGACAGAGATTTGGGGAGAAAGGGGGGGGTCTTATTCGCTTGCAAGCAGCCGGCCCAGCCCTCTGGAGCTGCATTGGCCGGTCCCAAAAAAAAAAAAAAAAAAAAAAAAGACAGGAGGGGGAGAAAGGAAAAAAAAAAGGAAAAGAAACCCCAGCCGAGGGCGTGAAAAGCGCCGGCTTCCCTCCTGCGCGCTCTCATTCGCAGCTCTGGCTGGCTGGCTCACCACGCGCGCCCGCCGCTGCCTGGCTGCGCGGCCGCTTTGCCCTTCGCTTTGCCCGCCGAGGTTCCGCGGACAGCCGGTCCCGCTGCTGCCTTCGCTGCCCCGCGAGTCTGGCAAGCCACGGCCCGGCTCCCAACGCTGCCGCCGCCGCCCGCTCAGCTTTTCAACCCGCAGCCCTGCGCCCTGAAGTCAGGTGCCTCCGCTTCGGTTGCTTGCTTTCCACCGGTTGGATTCCATCATCCCCGGGGCAGCTGGCTGGGGTTCACACGCAACCCGCGTACCCAGGTCAGTTAAAGAGCCTCCTGGCTCCGCCACATCCTGAGCCTTTTTGTGGGGAAGGGGTGGCTTGGCTTGTGGGTAGCTCAGGGCTCCAACCGAGAAAAATGGTCAACTGGGTTAAAGCACTGTAATTGAGTTGTGTGAACATAGCTTGACGCTCTCTTTCTCTGTCACTCACTCACGTTTCCCACCATCAAGCTGGTTTCTCCAGTTGTAAATGTTGTGATTACAGCTGCATCCCTCAGCCAGCATACTGCTGTAGCAACATGGGACCTGTAGTCTCCATCTATCAGCTATCAGCCTAGGGGAAATCTGATTTACGCAGACTTGAATATGGAGCCGTTTAACTTTACCAGTGTCTTTGATATCATCCTTCTGCATGCAAAATGCTACGTTTTCTTTCTTCTTCCTCGGCGCCTAGAAAGGCAAGCGCAGCTTCTGTAAAAACAAAACAAAACTTCTTCCAAAGTATTTGAAAACTCTTGATCTTCTTGTCACGTTCTGTCAGTCCTTGTTTCCCCACGAGTGTCCGGTGGATTTGCTGCAGATTTGGAGTGTGGTGTATTGTATTTTGCTATCCAGCTGAGCCAGCTTGGCGTTGCTAGAACATATTAATATATTTTTTTAAAAAACGAAAACTGAGGTTTCTGTCCAAAGGGAGTTTCAGAATTCACCATATGGCAATGGAATTCTGAAAGTGTGAAGTTGCCGGCGTTGTAAGAGGAAACATTTACCTGCATCCCAATGCTTCCTTTTCTTCTCCCCCTTTTCTTGTTAGAACGAAACTAGGATAAAATGGGATTTCTGACTGTGCTTCTGAAAATGTGTGGTGGCTTCAAAGAGAGGTGCACTGTGACAAACACATTTACCCCTCCTCCAGGCAATGTCAGTTGAACCCAAGTAACACAATAATCCGACGCAGAAATACTTTCTGCAATATACAGTAGATGCTTTTCCTCTGTGCGTTTATACAACATGTTTCATAAGTCATAAGGCAGCAAATTCCAGGGATGTTTTAATGTCTTTTTTCCTTAACGTAAGTGGTACTGAGAAAACAGACACCACCAGCCAAAAGGAAGTTCTTGCTAGACTCTGTAGAAATAAGAGGATTTTTGTGTGTGGAATTGGAGCGGGCAGATGTCCCACTGGAAGGCTTGCCTTGTTTTATGTCTGCTAGCATCAGATAAACACGTTCCCAGGTCCTCTACTGAATCAAATATTCGAGCCATCCATATGTTAAAGACAAACTGTAAACGTAGCTTGCCTCTGGGGCGTTGCACATTGCAAAAAAAGCAGTGTTAATTTGTAAAATTAGCTTGTGTGTGTCTAGAAGTGTGGATGCAGCCCTGGGGGTGGCTGGTGGCCTTAGCACATGCCTGTTGCCTGTTGTTAACCTCGTATCCTTGTGGGCTTTTGTACTTTGATTTTTATCTTAACTTGGACGTTTTAATTTGTTTTTAGCCTGTTTTTAATTTAGACTTTTATTTATGGCTTTGTATGGTTTGACAATGATGTAAAGTGCCCAGAGTCACTTAGGTTGGTAAAATGAGGACCCAGATTATTGGGGGCAACATGCCAACACTGTAAAAACTGCTTGGAGAGGGCTATAAAGCACTGTGAAGTGGTATATAAGTCTAATTGCTCTTGCTATTAGGTGACTAAGATGGTGGTGTAGACATCTGATAAATAGGTAAATATACAAAAGCTGCTAAAGCTACGTTTTTAATTCTGATGACTAGAAGCAGGAAGGAATTTCTGTTGTCTGTTGATCGGGTTGGATCCTACCACTTTGAATTCTACTGTTTTGTTGATTGCCAACTTGAGGTCTCTGCAGTACCCCTGGTTCAAACTTGTTGGATATTTATCCTACGGTTGGGTAGGTAATATATAGAAGAACTAGGTTTGTGACTTTAAATGATATAAGAAGAATGATTGGCTGTGCTATTATCAGGCAGCCATAAAAGTAGACAGGAAGCCCGGGGGCTCCTGCTCCTGCTATTTGATGATTGCATATGTTTTAGGAGTGTAGACAGTTGGTATTAGAGGTTTGGTTTCATGCACCACTGAGCTGTGGCGGCGCAGTGGTTAGAATGCAGCATTGCAGGCTAACTCTGCCCACTGCCAGATATTCGATCCCGACCGGCTCAACATGGACTCAACTTTCCATCCTTCCGAGGTCGGTAAAGGGAGGACCTAGATTGTTGGGGGCAATAGGCTGACTCTGTAAACCACTTAGAGAGGGCTGGAAAGCAGAGGTCTCCAACTCCTGGGCTGCAGACCGGTACCCGTACATATCTGCAGCCTGTTGGGAATCAGGACAGTCGAGTGAGGGAAACGTCATCCGTGCATGCACAACATATAGGTTGCATATGCAAAATCACATACACACACCAGTCGGCAAAAGACATTTTTTCTTCTAAAACTGGTCTCTGGAGCCAGAAAGGTTGGGGAAGACTGCAGTAAAGCACTATGAAGCGGTAGTGCTAATGCTGTTGATCTATCAAGATTTGGAGGGAATAAGAGTGGCCCTTTTGAAACGTTGGCATATAAAGTTGGCTTCCGGATTCCCTGCTGTATACAGAGGTGGTGAAGTGAACTTTAAAACTTCTGCCTGGCACATTGATGTTTCTCTTAACTTGGGGGGAAAAAAATTAATCTGACCTGTCCCACTGGAATGGCAAATCCTGGCAGGCCAGAAATGCTTAAAAGTAGTGCTTTATTTTCACCCTAAGCCATGCCAGGAGTTGGTTACCCAGATTATCTTGCCTTTTAACCTAATCTCAGCCTGTTAGAATTGGTTGGTATTTGTCATTTGGGGAAGGAAAAGGACTTTATCCGCGCTCAGCATTTTTCCCCCCCTCTCTTCCTTTATGAATGCTTCATGTATTTGAGGCTTATGTCTTGGAGCCAAAAATGTTTCAGGTACAGCCATGGCTTCAATTAAAGCTGTACTTTAGAGCATCGTGTCGGAAAAGGAGGGGGTTGGATCGTACCAGTTGGGTTGACAGCCAGACGAAATATGCACGGTCCAAGAATTGGCCTTCAGCCACACGCTAAGCCAGTTTTACTCGTGGGCCTTTGTCCTGATTCCGAGTGTCAACTTTCTCCTGAGTTGCTCCGTTGCAGGCAGTGTAGTGTTCCTTAGAGCAGGCAAATGTGAAGGAGGCCAAGAGGGGAATGATTCCTTCTTCCCAACCCGTAGCAGAGTTGAGCGGGATTGCCTGCGTTTTATTTGCTGTCACCTGGCTTCGGCCGAGGGAGGAACCGCTACTGCAAGAGGCAGGCAGTAAGGTGGCCATCTTGGAACAGGGATTGTTTTTGTGCCATATGTGCAAGGGTGGGCTGCTGGGGGTTTGCAGGGATTCGGGAGAACCTCTAGCTAAGATTCTGTGCAGTTCAGAGAGCTCCCAAATCCCATTCTTGGCTGGCCCCTCCCACCCCACCCCACCCCTTCCAGGAGTCCCCACGCGGTCCATTTTGGATGCAGGTAAGTGCAGGCTGCATATGGTGGCTTGGGGAGGGCGAAAAACGGGCCTACCAGAAGTTCAGGAAGGCCAGAAATGGGCCTGTTTCCGGCCTCCAGATGGCCTGTGGAGCCTGGGGAGGCAATTTTCGCCCTCCTGGAGGCTCAAGGAAAGCCTCCAGAACCTGGGGAGGGCAAAAATGCTCCCACCCCCGCTGTGGTGCAGGAGGCCGACTAGGCCACGCCCACCCAGCAACCATGCCCACCCACGGCCACGCCCACCCAGCAACTGGGCAGAGAACCCCTTGCTAAAATTTTTGAAGCCCACCCCTGCGTACGTGGTACATCTGGTGTGCCATAAACCAGCTTGCTGCAATCAAGAACAGTAGAAGATTCTATCTCGTTCTTCTTGACGTGAGATCTAAGGCTGTGCAGCGCTCTAGACTTATTTTTATCTAAATGGATTGATCTGGCTGTCCAACTCACGCACGGTGACGCGCACATGGTGATTTGATTGTAAAAAAGGACTTTGGTATGTACCTCGCTGCAACTTTTTAAAGCAGCAGTGCCTTTCCCCTGGATGGCATGGCAGCTAAAGAATCCTGAGGAAAGACATAGTTCAGGGGTCGGCAACCTTAAACACTCAAAGAGCCACAACGTTCTTAACCGGAAGCCCCCCATTCAGTTCTGGAGCCGACCGGAAGTCCAGTTCCCCCACCATAGAGTCTCCTCTTAGTGCAGCATCCTTTTTCCTCTACCTGTCCTAACCGAAAGCTGGGGTGAAATGCTCCCTGTTCGGACTAGATCTCCTGATACTGTAGCAATGGCGGCAGGTGATTCGGGGAACCGGTAGCAAAAATCCCTGCGCCCCCCCCCATGCCCAGCTGAGCTGCGCAATCATCAGAGCCTGTTTTTTTTAACTTTTAAAAGCATTTTTTCTACAACCTCTTTGGCTGAAAAAATGCTTTTAAAAGTATAAAAAAAAGCCTCTGATGATCGCGCGGCTCAGCTGGGATCGTCAGAGGCTTTTAAAAGCATTTTTTCTACAACCTCTTCGGCCAAAGAGGTTGCAGAAAAAATGGTTTTAAAAGTTAAAAAAAAAAAAGTTGGCCACGCCCACCCAGTCACATTACCCCTCCACCAAGCCACGCTCACAGAACCGGTAGTAACAAATTTTAGATTTCATCCCTGCCGAAAGCCCTATCAATTATGGAGCTGACCAGCAACAGGGAGCTGCAGCAGAGGGATGAAAGAGCCACATGCGGCTTCAGAGCTGCAGGTTGCTGACCCCTGACATAGCTACTTCCATGAGTTTCTTTCTGCATTTGCACCTCCATGCAATTATGGTACGAACTGAACCCTAAAAAGCTGCTGAGCTCCATCAGATGTGAATCTGGAGTTGCAAATAGTAACAATGGGTTGAGGGGAGAAGAGTATTCCTGTAACTGTTCCCTTTTGGCAGGCTTCTTATTGCTACATGGCAATTTTCCTGTGCTCTCCAATTCCTTGTAAACACCCCGCATCAACACTCAAATTCCAGGAC